GTTTGCCCGATCCGCTCGCGCGCGCGTCGCTGAGGCGTATAAATTCCCTCAGATGCGCGAGCCGCCGAATGCATCAGTGGGCATAATTAAAAGGGATGTTTACCCCGTGGAAACCTTTCTGCAAATACACCTGGACCGCAGCTTTTATCGCGCGGCTGCAGGGCCGCCCGCCCCTTCGGTCGCCTTATTTGCTCGCCGCCTGATTAGGATGCGCCGACCCCGGTCTCGGTCACGACGGTGGCCAGCGTTCCGAAAGCGAGTGTCTCTGACCTGCCTTTGACCAAAGTGCCTCGTGGCCTGAATCAGGCCGGCGGTGCGTTAAATTTGCTCCGTTAATAATCTGTTTATTAGATTAAGAAGTTCACGCCACGCTTTCCCGCATCACTTGGGTTCTTCGGTAATGTGATTAAAAGGCGCGGAGACGGCTCCCCCAGCGTGAGACGTCTCGTGTCATTGGTGAATCATTTGCTCTTCTGTCTCTCTTCCAAAGCTTCTACACGGTAAATGAAGTCCATAAATTCCAGTATTCGCGACCGGTGAGAAAAGGCGAAAAGGACCCGGACAACGAGTTTGCGGTAAGTCATTGAATCGGTTCAATTCTCACTTTGGTGCTTGTCGAGAGTTGGAACTCGTGACACCGGAGCCGCAGTCAACTTGCCGTCTGTTTGGTTTTGTTTGTGTGTGTGTGTGTTCAGAACATGTGGATCGAGAGGACCACGTACACGACGGCTTATAAGCTGCCGGGCATCCTGCGCTGGTTCGAAGTCAAGTCGGTGTGCACTGTGAGTAGTGGCTCGTCCCGAGCGGGCCTCCTAATCTGATGAAGATGTTCGGGCCCGCCGATCGATGGTCGCGATTAAGCGATTTGGACGGCCGTATTGACGCCATCACGAGGCTCTGGATACGTCCCCTCGCTGTCAGAAGAATCGATTCAGCTGCCTCTTTCTTTTTTTTTTTTCATCATGCTTGCTTACGGAAAGCGTAGCGACCAATGCCACTCAAAGACAATAGAAGCGCTGGCTTTTGTTTCGCTTTCTCAAGGCAGGCCTTTGTTTTTGTTGAACATTTCCAACCCAAAAAAAAAAGGATTTCAAAATTGTCTTTTTTTTTTTTTTTTTTTAAGTGCAAATAAAATAAATGACCAAGTTACTCTCCGCGTCACTCCCCTGATCCGTTTGCGTGCGCTCAGGATGAAATCAGCCCCCTGGAGAACGCCATGGAGACCATGCAGCTGGCCAACGACAAGATCAGCAGCATGGTACAGAAGCACCTCAGCGACCCCAACCTTCCCATCAACCCCCTCTCCATGCTGCTCAACGGCATCGTGGACCCCGCCGTCATGGGGGGCTTCGCCAACTACGAGAAGGTATGCGTGACTTATTATTTTCTTTGACTTACAAGCCAAAGAAAAACTCTTGAGAGTTGTTTCCCTATTTCCCTATTACAAAACATCTTCAATATTTTTTAACTGGGAGTTTTTTGGGGGGTGCCTGGACTGTATTAATGTCATTTCCGTCTCAATGGATCCCCAATGTGCCAGTTCTCCAACGTGGCCACGGGTGCGAGGGCTCCCCCGCTTCATAGTTGCTTGCAGCTCTCATTACTCGATTATTTATGTTGTTTGGCTTCTCCTCCACACGATCCAAAATGTGAACAACTGCTGAGTGTGCGTCCTTCCCCCGCAGGCCTTCTTCAACGACAAGTACACGCACGAACACCCGGAAGATCTGGACAAGATCGACAAGCTCAAGGACCTCATCGCCTGGCAGGTGCGACTCGGAACAACGTGCCGGGAAACACGATTGTGTCGCTCTTAAAAAAAAAAAAAAAAGATGGAGAACGTCACTTTGAAACTGGCTGGCAGAGAGAGAATAACCGGGGACCGAGTGTGGTTTGGAAATGGCCTGGAAAAGCCAACCCAGTCGCCACTTTGATTCTCGAAGTCTTAACCGAATTCGGGCATTGCGCTGAAAGCTCTTCAACCTTGAGCGAGTGAGCGGGTGTCCGTCCACGCGCTCCACAAATAGCCGGCGCCTTCCTCTGCACACGCAGTGCGTTGCCATGCCGCCACTCGGACACGCTCAATCATCCTCCATCATGCTCGCTCGGCTCTATAAAAAGGGCGCCGACGGGTATCCTGGGAGACGGGAATCCTGACACGCGTCTTTGTGTCTCCCGCTTCTCGCGCCGCCTCCGCAGTGTATTCGTCTCATCCTTCTCAGGACACCGTTGAGCTGTCCGAATCGTGACGAGGGTGATGACGAATACATAGAGTATGTATTACTTTGAAACATGGCCGAATGACGTTGCATGTTTTGGCATTGCGCCGTTGCGCAGATCCCGCACCTGGCCGAGGGCGTGCGCATCCACGGCGAGAAGGTGACGGAGGCGCTGAGGCCTTTCCACGAGCGCCTGGAGGCCTGCTTCAAGCAGCTCAAGGAGAAGGTGGAGAAACAGTACGGCGTCAAGACGCTGGTGAGAATGGAGTGCACGGGTTGGCCTGTCAAAGAACATGTCGTCGTCGTTAGAATTCATATTTTGGTTTCAGGGGGGGAAAATATTTGGAGCTTTTTTCACAGAATGATTACCACTCTGAGCTACATTTGAATAGCTCTGCATCATTTGAAGTGGAAAGTGTGTCAGGTAGGCATCAGCTCCAAACATGAACTGGAAAATACAATAAGACCACAGCGCCACCCTCTGGCAGAGTGGGACAGCTACAATGGAAATCACCCAGGGTCCAAAGTCTAATTGTTATTTATTAGCGGAAAAGGTCGGGTTTAAAATTAGCCTATTTTAATCATGCAAAATACTATTGTGTTTGAATACTATCGTCGTTGTCGATTTTCTGGTCTTTTTTTTCTGCTTATTCATGTATAAATATGACAATGAATCTCAATGCTTGTGTTTTCTTATGAATGGTGACGGCCTCCACAGCCGGCGGCGGATGAGCGTCGCGGTTCTCGACCTCACTCGATGGTTCGCTCCTTCACCATGCCGTCGTCGCAGCGGCCTCTGTCCGTGGCCTCCGTCACCTCCGTCTCCTCGGACAATTCGCCCTCCAGGCCGGGATCTGACGGGTAACTAGCTCCAAAGTACTGGCAAGCCCACGTGGTTCCAAAAATCAATTCCTCGGTCGGCGCGGCAATCATTCATTGTACATACCCGGCCGGAGGTTCAATTCAATGTGCGCCTTGGCCCCTTGGGGGCGGTATAATGCGGCTGTACGCATATACTATACAAGGAGCTCAGTAAGCCGCAGTAATATTTGTCATTCTTTGCTGAGGATAAAAAATGTGCCCATCCAAATGTGTTAATCAGCCATTAAACAAGTCACAAATGAATATAAATCCTTTTTTTTTTTCAAGTGCAGTCCCAGAAAAAGATGGCTTTTGATGGTTCTTTTCATCTTTTGCATTGTTCCAGTTTTGCCCTGGAGCCTCTGCTCCCCAAGAAGCTGCACACCAAGTCCCAAGACAAGCTGGACCGCGACGAACCCGAGCGCGAGCGTCGGGACAAGAAGAAGGAGAAGCGCAACAGCAAGCACCAGGAGATCTTCGACAAGGAGATGAAGACCACCGAGATCCCGCTGCAGCCCGCCGAGGCCGTCATACTTTCCGAGACGGTATGGCGCGGGTCCTGGAGGACAAATGGTCCGTTTCTCAATCCCCGATGCATTTTCTGTTCTTGCAGATCAGCCCGCTGAGGCCCCAGAGGCCCAGGAGTCAGGTGCTGAGCCAGATCGTCGGAGACCGTCGCCTGTCCGTGTCGCCGGGACCCCCCGCCACCTCGTCATCCAACTCATCCTCCTCGTCTTCCTCGCCGGGACCGCCGCCCATCACGCCCCGTAGCAAACTCTCCTTCAGTCTGCACAGTGAGTTGTATTGTTAAAAGTCACCATCAACACAGACGGCTTCAGACTATACATAGATGGGGGAATGAAAAATTGAGCTACCGTGGTTTCTGGTCAGGCGTGGATCTGAACGGGGTTGCCTGCGGCGACAAGGTGGACGTCCCGCCTCCGCTTCCCGTTAAAGGCAGCACGGCCGATTACGGCAACCTGCTGGATAATCAAGACTTGAGCGCCCCAAGCGCCACCACTCCACCGCCGCATCAGCGGGTACGTACGAGTTCAAACGCAAAATCACAACACCTCCATTATTTTTGTTTTTCTTCTACCCCGAGGCCGACGTGTTCTTTCGTGATATTCTACGTTAATGTTATGAAATGAAGAAACTAATTTGGAGAAACATGTGAGCGTTGCCAATGAGCTGTTTTGTGTTAATGAGGCTTGTGTTTGCGGCGTAGCATTTACCGCCGCCGCTCCCCAGCAAGACGCCGCCGCCCCCTCCTCCCAAGACTACCAGGAAGCAGACATCCATCGATTCGGGAATTGTACAGTAAGCGTAAAGACGCAGACGACCGAGACGGCCACAAAAAAATGCCGGCTGCTGCCCCTTAAGACAGACACACACACACACACAGAAACACTCGAAGATACACACATTCCTGGCACTCCTCACCCACGCTGACAAGATGAATACCTCATTGCAGACCTTTTGAGTTTTTACCCTTCAAGTCATCGAGACTTCCATCAACTCGAATGTCCCACTATGTATGTACAGAGGTTTGTATATATGATTTTTATTTTCTGTTTTGTACGTGATTGTTTGTATTAACGCATGATTAGATCACACAGAGGCATTTTTACAACTCGAGAAACAAAGCAACCAAAAAAAAAAAAAAAATGGCTGTCGAGTGACTTTTTACTGGTGAAAAGTTTGGCGTGCGCAAAGCGGTTGACTAAACACGCATCTGATTTTCCATCATGAACTGCTCCAAATTCACTACTGACAACACTTCTGAATAAACATTCACAGTGTATGGATTTTTCAAGCAAAAACATGTCTGCTGCCTCCTTATTTTCGCCACTCACTTAACACCAGTTGGTACTCATTTCATTTTTTTCCCCAGTTTTTATATTTGTGACATGGGCGTCATCCAGCGATATTTTCTTCAGTTGTTTTCCACGGGTGCCTCGAGACATGGAGTGACCTGACTTCGAGTTTTTCAAGATACGCTGACTCAAATTAATGCAGAACGGGAAACGCCAGAGCCAGGCAGGAATTCAAACAAGCAAAATTGTCCAAATAACAAATACAATAAGGCAAGTCTCTATAATTTTGAATTTATAGTGATGTTTTATAGAGAGGGAGAGAGAGAGAGAGAAATTAGCATTAATGTTATCATCTAATTGTACTTTATTGGTGCTGTAACTAAGCAGAGAACTTGAACCAAATCCCAATTGTATGCAATGCAGCCAATTTGTACAACGTGTCTTTTAAAAGGTTTGTTTTATTTTATTTAGCACGTTTCTTTGATGGTGACGTTATTATAATGGCTCCACTTTGGCGACGAGCCGCAGTAAGGGAAAAAAAACGGACTAACTAAAACGTGAGGCTGGCTCCCTGTGCTAAATGGAGATGGTATCATCAAATGGAGATGGTATCGGTGCTCATTGAAAGGCAGATTGGGCCCGATTGAAAAAGAGGAGGTGTGACCGACCCCCTTTCAGAAAAAAAAAATCTCCCCGGGAGCTCCACCTGGCCCCTTGCCCATAAATACGCCCCCCTCGCCGGGATGGGAGTTCACTTGAGTCGGGTGCGCTTCGAAGGTCGTGTGGTGCCGGTGGTTGTTTGGTGTGGGATAATGAACGCCTTTGGACCGCAGCAAGCCTCCAGCCAGCAGAGCAACAGCGGCCACCCCGCGCACGACCTCCTGGACATGGCCGTGTACTGTGACAACTACGGCGTCTACCAGCACCAAAACCTCCACCATCTCCATCACCCCCAGAGACCCCCCAACCATCCCACCGGCTACGGTTTGAGCGACTACGCCGCCCCGCCCACCAACCCCTACCTGTGGCTCAACAACTCCCCGGCCTCGACCTAAGCAACCACCGGCTGCGGCGGAGGAGGAGGAGGAGGAGGAGGCGGCGGCGGGGGCTCCACATTTTTGCAGTCGGCTGGCTACGGCTCCGGCGGCCAGCGGCAGCTCCTGGCGGCGCCAGGCGCCGACCTGGGCTGGTTGTCCATCTCCAGCCAGCAGGAGCTCTTCAAGATGGTCCGGCCTCCGTACTCGTACTCGGCCTTGATCGCCATGGCCATCCAAAACGCGCAGGACAAGAAGCTGACCCTGAGTCAGATCTACCAGTACGTCGCCGAAAACTTTCCGTTTTACAAGAAGAGCAAAGCCGGCTGGCAGAACTCCATCCGGCACAATTTGTCGCTCAACGACTGCTTCAAGAAAGTGGCCCGGGATGAGGACGACCCCGGTGAGTGCCGCTCGTTTTGACGCGTTTATTGACACCCTAAAAAGTGGCCCGAAAACACACGACGTATATGTTTAAAGTCACGGGTTGACAAAATGCTCTCGTGTTATAATGAACGACTGCGCGCAGCTAATTTCAGTTTTCTAGTCACTATTGAAAACATGTATTTATTTCAGCAATTCCGTTTACTTTGCTCCTCCCAGGCAAGGGCAACTATTGGACGCTGGACCCCAACTGCGAAAAAATGTTCGACAACGGCAACTTTCGGCGCAAACGGAAGAGGCGATCCGAAATCAGCACCCCGGTCGACAAGCCGGACTCGCTCGCCCGGCACAAGCTCTCGGACACGTCCAGCTTGCTGAGCTCGTCCCCGCCCAGCCTGCGCGGTTCGCCGGCCTCCACGGAGCCGCGTTCATCGCCGCCCAACTCGGCCGATCACAGTCCGTGCTTTGCCGGCTTCGTGTCTGGCGTCAACACGCTGCTGACGACCGGAGCAGAGGCCTCCTCTCGGGCCCCGGAACGGGACTTTGGCACGGAGTTGTCCCAAGGTCGCGAGGGCACGTCCGGACTGGGCTCCTACTCGCCCTCCTTAATCTCTGACAGCAGAATGAACTACTACAACCTCAGTAATCATTTCACTGTCAACAACCTCATGTACAGCCGGGAAGGGACGGAGGTTTAACGCGGACCCATCTGAACACGGGACTTTAATTGTATATATTGCGTGTAGGAAAAAGAAAACAAAAAGTCCACAATGGTGTTGAAAAATCACACCTTTCAAGTCAGACACTTGTCCTATTGAAGGAGAAAAATGTACACACATTATTTTTTATAAGAAAAGTGACTTGCATTTTGTTTTATTTAAACTCACATTGACGTTTGAATAAAAGCCTTTTTTTGTTGGACTATGTGCTTCCCAGTGTTGTCTACATTCGCACTTTTCATTTTTTTTTTTTTTTTGTTCTTCTCATGATTCACATTCTCCCTTTTTATGCCCACCCCAAATAAAGCCCCCTTCCAAACTCCCCCCCCCCCAATCCTGCCAGGTTGTCTACAGTCAAGTGGCTGTAAGTCATCAAAGTGTGTAAAACAGAGACATTTTCCGCCTGTCACCCCCAATCGGCCCTTTGAGCACCACCCCACCCAACCCCGCCCCGGTTCACAAGTTCAGCTTTTTGTTTCCAGCTCGTTTCACGTGGACCTAGGGAGGAATATTTGTACCTGTCCCCCACCCAGCTGTTCCCGAACATCACGCGTGAAGCCTGCTCACTCCTTGACGGAAGAGCGTCCGACAATGCGGAATCAAAGGCGAGCAAAATGGAGGAAACACTTCTTGTCGGCGGGATAATTGAGTGCAGTGAGGCGCTGCGTGAAAAGGAGAATGAATTGAGAAGCACAATGACCGCTTGGCATCGGGAACGCTCCCCTCCTGGGCTCCGATGAAAATATTGCCATCTGAAGATGTGGGAACAAACCAGCCAGGCCCTCGCCCCCACCCATCCCGAGGACACCTTTTGTGCCATTATCTGGGAACAAAGCGCAATGACGGGCAACTTTCCAAAGTTTGCGCCCCGAAAATGTTGATTTCCATCTGCTCTCCTCTTCATCGCTTGGTTTAACTTTAATGTCCTAGTAAAGTGAAATTAGTATCTTGTAAATTTGACACAGCACAAAGAAGGTTGTTAGCAACCCTGCCAAAATAGGAGTTAAAAATAGAGAGTGACGCTTTAAAATTGTGAAAAATCAAGCAGACGTTGCGGGCATGTCCGCTGCAGAATGTCGCTAGGCTTTTTCAAGCTGCAACAATGAGGCGCTCTAAACCGGCCACAGCAACACAAACCCCCATCCATACTGTGGCTGTCATACCGATAGGCTATTTTTAGAACATATTCTAGCTTGCTCATTTGCATTCTTTCTGATGTCGGCGTATGCACGGCTGACAACGAGGTTCTCGAAAGCAGCCGCGCCAGTGCACAGCCCCAGTCCACATACTGCTTGTCAAGTTGGCCTTTAAAAAAACAAAAACAAAGCATTTCACATCTCCTCGTCTTTTCTGTGCGACATGCACACACTCATGGTCAACAACAAGGCGCTCTAAAGCAGCCATGACTACCCAAAATAATCCACCCTCCACTTGTCCAGTTTCCTCTGTGACTTGGGCATACACATTGCAGACAACGGTGCACTCTAAAGAGCCTATTTGACGGCCAAATGCACGTATCCGACGACATGGCAAACATGTCAATCAATAGTCCCTGACGGTCTGAAGACAATGAAAGTTCCATCTGGTCCAGAAGTGGAAAGTAGCACTAGCTGCTCCGATCTGGTATTGTTTTCGCAATCGAAATTGAAGAGGTTTCTGGCCGCACGCAGTAAGCGGTACATGTGGTGCGTTGAAGACATGATGACAGCTCCAGGACCAGGGAAGATCTGTAATATATGTATGACTGCAGGGGGTGGGCGCGGGAGGGGCCGGGTGTCTGCGTGAGTGACAGGTGAGGAGAATGCCCATCAAAGTGCATGACCCGATTGGGTTTCATCACTTTGCTTCATCCAAGGCCTGGAAAATGGATGCATCACCAGGACATGCACATTTTTTGATGTGTTTATAGGCACTGGAGTCACTGGCAATGGACCCTCTTTGGTGTGTGTGTGGGGGGGGGGAAGCCAATATAAATTCATACCTTAAATACATTTTGGATTTATAAAAAAGATTAAAAACATCACATTCACAACAATAAATACTCCCCAAAAGTTTTTTGAAGTTGTCGCTCACCGCTGTGTGAGTATAATTGTTTTTCTGTTAACACACACATTAGGGAATCGTCGGGGGGGGCGAGAGGACAGTTTGGGGGTGGGTGGAGGGGGTTCCGTGGTGACAGCACACAGCTTGAAGCACCTGCACTCTGTCATTGCCTGCTCGTCGCAGACAGGAAGTGGTGACAGATGACACAGGAAGTAGCTCTGCACCGGAGTGAGTTGGGGGGGTGGTCGCTGTGGGTTCCTAGCCGGAAATCTTGGTGGTGTGGGGATGCACGTCTGACTACTTTGAACAACAATGTGGAGTTTCACCTGCTTCCATTCTGCACTGAGTGTGTGTATGTGTGATAGTGCCCCCCAGGAGAACCCCCCCACCCTGCCCCTCCCTTGCCATCAAAACAAAACTCCCCTCAGGCCCTAATGAGACCCCCTACCCGCTCCTCTATTATGAGGGAGAGACAGCAGAGAGAAGACAGACTCAGGCTCAGAGACCTGGCCAGACCCTGCCCCTTCTACAACCAGTGCCCCCCCCCCCCATCTAAACTTGGGTTGTACAAATGTTTTTCTCCAAGGGCCACAAAGACATGAGTCACCAACATTTGAACTCAAAAGGTGGCGCAACATGTGGACATGGGTCCTAGTTTGGGCCCCCCACCCCAACCCCCACCCCGAGTGAAGTGTCAAATGCGGCCTCGCAGGGAGCCCTGTAAAGTGCCCCCACTTTTCCCCGTCAACGTTTGACTTTGGGTCCCTGTAAGCTGCTGATGATCTGGGGGCTCAAGACCCTAAATGACAGGCTTTCAGCAGACTGACCCCGCCCCCCACACCCCTTCTTCAAAATGCTCTTTTTGTCTCGGCCCCCTAATCTTTCATGGTGCGTGTGTTCGTGTTTGTTCATGCGTGCGCGTGTGTCCGCGTGCATTTGTGCCCGTCTGTGGCAAAAGTTGAGATGGCACCATCACGACCCCCCCCCCCCAATGTCTTTTGAGCAAGACAAGCCATGCCGGCAATGGTTTGAACGCTGATTTCAGCCTTCTTCTCTTCCGCCATTGTTTGAATGTGTTGAAAGTGTCACTCGAGAAGTTGTTAGGTGAGCTCAGTTGCTTGGAAGGTGCGAACCCACCGCCAGCCGCGATTTGCATCTCAACAGCAGTCAGTCGCTGTGCTCATGGCGCTCGTGTGCCTCAGTTGCGCGGTGGCGGCGGGCGGGACGCGCCCGCACTGTGAAGCGGTCTCGGCCTCCGCTCACGTAGAGGAGTAAATCCTTTTCTTTTACTACCCACCAGTGGTTGGTTGGTTGGCGCACCCACTGCCCGACCGCAATACCGGGGCTCCTACCTCATAAAGCAACAGCATGATGAGATTTTTTTTTTTTTTTTAATAAAGCTGACAGCATAATAGCCCCATGTCCCAGTCTCTACGCCCTGCCACTATATTTAAGCGTTCATCTCGGGCCCACCTTCAATAAAGAGCACAATCAGCTATAATGACAAGGCGGCGCCACATAATGACGCAATCCGAACGCTGTCAAATTAAAGTGAAGCCTGCGCGGATTCCGTCGATGGCCCGGAATGGAACATTCCTGCGTTGAGCGATTGTGTCACACTTAAAGGATTGCTACGCTTTCGAGGATGATGGCGAGCGTCGGTGACGAAGCGTCGCAGTCAAGCGCCGCGTTATGAAGCTGTTTCATCGGAAGAGACGGCGGCCGGGAGAAAGCCCGGCAGGAGGTGCTACGGATCGATTACAAGTTTTGACAGCGCCTAAAGTTTCCGTGGCCGTATTTCACGCCGTCACGCTCACCTGTACTTGACGTTTTACGTCTGCACGCGTTCAAGTAGCCAAGATGCGCCGGGATAAATCACGGGCGATGATCACTACTCAACACGTTCCCATACGGCTCCGGTTTTATGGCGTCTCCACGGCTTTTTGATTTTTCCAACTGTAATCTGGTAATGTTGTGTGTTAAACCTAAAAAAAATTTAAAAAAAAGAAGAAAAAAAAGAAAAAAATCGAGTTTATTTCAATTTTATTTGAAAAATTCCGAAGATTTTTCTCGTTAAATTTAAACTTGTGAAATAGCTGGAATTTAACTTTTCTTGGGGTTTTTTTTTTGTTTTGTTTTGGTAATTTTTAAGTCTGAAAAATTCCCCCATAAAAAAAAAAACCTCTCATTTTCTTTTTTTAAATAATTTTTAAATTCAAACTAGAGTTGGATCATATAAAAAAAAAACAGGTTAAATTTTGCCGAGTCTTAATTGAACTTCAATTTATAATATTACCAGTAAATATTTCAAATTAAAAAAAAAAACTTTTGAAAATTTGAAAACTACTTCTTGTTCTCATATCTGTCCTTCTTATTCACTTGAAGATGTCGGAGCTTTGAAAGCTGCGGATTACACCGCCGACCAAGCTTTTCGCCCTTCGGCTGCACGCTTCCACATTTTACGGTGCCGTCCAAAAAGTCACTGCTCTTAATGCTTGGGAAGTCATCTGCAGGAGAAGGAAGAGAAAAAAAAAAAAGATAGAAAGAAAGAAACTCGACTACGTCCTGGAGGAATTTCCTCCCCGGGGGATCCCTGAGTGATGTCCGTCTCCTCCCAGTCCATCACGGCTGAAACTGGATCACTTGACACTCGCTTAAGTGACTTCAGTTCCTCGCAATCCTGCGCGCCGTCGCTTCTCAGGAACTTGTTGTTCTGGGATTCGGGAATTTGGACCACAACAAAGGGTCAGAATACCCCCCACCCCCCCAAAAAAAAAGACGTCTTCATTTCTCTTATCTCTCACGATAAGTCAAATGGACACATTTAATATTTGAAAGTTTTTTTGGTTAGTCATTTTATTTTTTTTTAATATTTTTTATGATATTTTCTAACATAGCTTGGATGGGAGTACCACCTTTCTTTTATTTATTTTCTTTTTAATGAATCGGATTTGATGGAATATTTTGGTACTCAATTTTATTTCTGTGGTCGGGCGAACCAGTTATTTCTTGTATATTATGACATCGCAAAACTTAAAACATTTCGTTGAAGTTCCCAACTTAAAGGGGATTGCCTTGAAATGTTTCTGGGTGTGTAATCCTCTTTGTTTTATGTTTAGTTTGACAGCAATCTTCACCAGGGAGCTACATTCAACCTCTTGAAGTTTTTTTGCTCACAAGTCAAAGCAAGAAAGCGGTCAAATGACGGCTCGTATCTTGAAAAATTTATCAGTCAGGGTCGGGCTGCATTTTGCTTGGGGTTGTTGCAAAGGAAGGAAGGCCGCAGATAAGACTGTCTTCACCCCGTGCGTCACCTCATCACCTTGCCGTCACGTGTCAACGACGGACGGAAGAGGCGAGCTGGGACGCAAGGGGACGGACGCCGGGTGGGGGGGTGGGAGGGGGTTCACACTGACGACGCACATTTAGCAATTGAGCGGCCGGGCCCGACTCGTAGCGGGGTCGGGGTGGGGATCCGGGGGCGAGTGGGTTGTAGTCGCTCACCCCGGGGCGACACTCGGGCCTCCGCCTCGGCCCCTCCATTGTCATCAGGCCCGACGCTTCATCCGCCGCGCTTCCTGCCGCCGCATTCTTCCTCCCTCCGATACCCACACCAGCAGCGGCGCGGGACGAGGGGTAACTTGTAACCGCGTGAGCACCCCCCCCCCGTCCGCGTCAAGGGTGATGTATGGAGAGCGGTAACACGACGCCTCGGATCCTGACCGCAAGAATAGGGGCCACGTGTAAACACTTGGAGCGCCGGCGCTCCCGTTTCTTTCCTCGCAGGTTTGGCCCTCTGATGCGGACACAAGAAGACATCCGGCAAATCGGGGACGTTTTTGGCACACTCGACTCAAAAGATTCAAATTGTCTTTCACACTCTGTTTATTTTTTCTCATTACAAAATACTATGCACAAAATAAATGAATACATAACTAATCATGTTTTTTTTCTCTCTCTCAAAAGGTCAAATTTTTGTTCTCGCTGCATCTTTTCCCCGCATGACTTTCTTCTTGCTTCTGATTGGCTGTTGGACGTCCACTGTGGGCCTCTAGCGCCACCTGTTGCTTTGGAATGCACTGGACAGCCTCACCGGCGTACCGTGACACCAATGCAACAGGATCATTTTGACTTTTAAATTGGGGGGGCCGGGACCCGGACGGGAGGGGTGGCCGAGGCGGGGGTCCGCCACGTTTGACTAATTGTGGAGCGGGGCCCCGAAGCTGAGCTGCGACCCCTCAAGCTGTCAGACGCCGTGTCTCCTCGCCCCCTGCAGGGCGCCGCCATTGTTGAGGGGCAAATGCCTTTTTGTCTCCATCGCCCTGCAACCTTTTTAGGGGCCACGGAGACATTTTCCAGGGTCCGGTTTGAGAAGCGCTGGCTCCGGAGGTCAAATGGCCGCTTCCGGAGCCAAATGTGGTTCCAGGATTGAGTTGCACGCGCTCATTTGTAGCCCCTTGATGGACGGAGCGGCACTCGGCACTCTTAAAGGAGCCCTGCAGGCCTTGGCTGCGTCCAGCCAGGTCCGTTGGAAGGGATGATTGACAGCTTTATGGCTCGGCTTCTCTAAGCCATTCATAAACATCAGTGGGGTGGGGGGGGGCCACTTCTGACAGAAGCTGACAAGTAGTAGTGGAAGTGCTTATCAGGTGTCGGCTTGCATCATGGGAAACAGCCAAAGACCTGTTAAATATTTGCTTCCAAAAATTTGTCTTACTTCAATTTTGTGTTGTTGTTGTTGTTGTTTTTCATTTCGTGTGGTTGCAAACATCAACAACGTTGCACTTGGTGCATCTCTTGGCGCTTTAGGGACCAACGTTGTCTTTTATGCCCTCCAAACACATGGAAAAGGTGCTGCACTCTGGCTTGCTCACCTCGTATATCTTTGCCATTCATCTTAATTTGTCACTGAGGGCTGGAAAGGAGAAGGGGGGGGGG